AAGAGAGACATTAGGCGGTGTAGGAAGGATTTGATTTTGACCAATTTGGTCTCGCGTGCTGTTACGGGTATGAGGGCGGTTGTCACTTCCCGGCTGCCCACACCGTGGAAGGTTGTTTCTTGAGGGACCTGAAAAGGAAGATGGATTAGTGTTGGTGCGTGACCGCAGAGCCCAAGGGACAACTGCTTGAGGCCGGTCACGCACGGCCTTTTTATGTAAGGTATTTTGAGGATTAGCTCCGTTCTTAAAGGCCCTTAGTGGGCACCCTTACCCAAGGAGACGGAAATCCGTGAGGAAGGGGAGGTGTGACATTTTTAAGGCCGACCTTTTCTAACCCTTCCTTCCTTGTGAGAAGGCAGCATCGCTGCAGATGCTGGTTGTCCGAGGGAAACACCTTACTGCTGTCACACCCCTCTGCAGTCAGCAGTACGACTTCGCCCTCAGACCTTGGGTAGCTGCTTTTAGTCTCATCGTTCTCCAATCGACCAGCCTGGCATGGTAGGACCTGCAGGAACATATGTTCCAGCCAGTATAGCTCGGTTGGGTCATCACGATAGGCAAGCCCGACCACCACGTCAAGGTAGCAGCTTCGGTCGGGAATAGCCTATGCTCCACCCGGGGTTAAGATGCATAAGTAAGTAAATGAGTTACGGTCCAGGTTCTAAGACCGAAGTAGGTTATCTCCCAGAGTATTTGACCTACAGTTCTAATCCACAAGATAGTGAAGCAACGTCAACAGATGAAGTCCTATGACAGTCGGTGACCAACAATAGGTTAATGCGCCACTTTTTCCCTACGACCCTTGAGTCAGTGTGGACAATCGGTTTGAATCTAGGTTTATGATTCCTCTAGTTGAATGCTAAGTACGTACCAACTCGGTTTAAGCTGTGACCGAATAATCGCCATTTGTTTTCTCGATTTCGTAAACAACACCTGTGCGGTGCGAAGTTAGCGATTGGGATTTTTCTGCTAGTAGCTATGCGCGCATGGCTATGTCACAGCACTTCGAGAGAGAGTGAGAGCAGTCCCTCTTTAGTTAATTAAAATGAAATGAAACAAAATATGCAAACCTAATCATAGACTTGTAGGTCAGTGAAACTCGATCACTTAAACAAGTCGTCAAGACTTATCTTGACACAGTCTTGTTACAAGTCCTTCAAGAAATAGTACTCTTTTTGGATTTATAAGCAACCGAAAAGTGACATTATCCTCCATACATTTTAAAATGCACCTCTATAATCAAATCTTATCTTGGTTTTGTGTATGCGTTAGTGTAGAAATACGGTGCCGCGTCTATGACCAGTGGTGTTGAAGGCAAACAGATTTGTGAATCATTCACCATTTTCGTTCCTTCCTCACAGTCCTTGTTGTATACAGTATTGTCCATTCCAGCATTGGAGTTTAGGTCCCCATCAGATGAGTCGATTTGTTTCCTGTGCAGTTCTCAAGAATTGACTGTGTCCCCTAAGAGAATTGAGTATATTTCCGAATGCTATTTATTGTGACCCTGTCCTTCTTTGTTTTAAGGATGCTTTGATGAATCTGGAACCATGACATTGCTGTTGTATAAGTGCGTTTTGTGCTTTGATGAATAGCATCAGTAAAACGGTATGCGTATGTGAGGCAATATCATCTTCATGTATAGAGTACAACAGCATCTCCTGAAATTAATGATTTTTTGTCCAGACTGCGTCCAATGTGTTTCATTTAGTCCAATCACCAACAGATTATATAGTTTCTTTTCCTCAGTAACTTGAATGGTTCTTCTAGTCACCGACATTATGAGAACAATGAGTGGACCTATATTAACTGTTGCAACAGCATCGACCTCGTAACTTCCAGAGAAATTCAGCTTTTATCATGTGTTATACCCATACATACCATTTATTTAAACAAAGATCTTAAAAACATGTACCATTTAAATGTTACGGTAAAACAATGACATATAATTTGAGATAACCCTTTTTCAGTTGATGTATTTCACAAGATTCAATTAGTCAGTCATGTAAAACGTAGAACTTGATGCGTTTACGTTGACAAACCACCACATTAGCACAAAGATGCCATTATCAATTCAAATCCCGACTGTAACAGCTACCTTAACGTGGTGGTCAGGCTTGACTATCGTGATAACCCAGCCGAACTATATTAGCTGGAACATATGTTCTTGTAGGTCATACAATGCCAGGCAGATCGATTGGAGACCGGTGAGACTAAAAGCAGCAACTCAAGGTTTAAGGGCTAAGTCGTACTGCTGAATGTAGAGAGGTGTGACAGCAGTAAGGTGTTTCACTGGGTCATACTATTGTACAGGTTGCAGAAAATGATATCGTCGAAAATAAAGTTTTCTCCCCTATTACGTCATTCGTTTCAATGAATTAATGGGCTTCTTTAGTGGTATTTTAAAAGGGATTTGAGGTAATAAAATTTAGAGCAACTGTACAAAAAACAGTTGAATATCTTCAAAGTAATCATTCTAAGGAATTATTTTCAGTATACTATTAATATCATCTCACTTCTGATGCCCATGAAGGTTGAACAGGATGATCATTGAGTTCTGGATAAGAAGAACGTAGAAGCAGCATTTGACGAATACAAGTACATGCAACTTTATCGCATAAACTTTTAGACTTCAAAACTAAAAGGATAAAAATTAAAAAATTACCAATTAAGAAGAAGAAATTCAATAAATAAGAACACGATGACAATAGAAAAGAAACACTATGGAACATAATGTTGGGGATGTTCGAGCCTCAGAACTCGCTTGTTAAATGCCTTATTTTGGATTTCACGTTTGCGAGCATGGGATGATCAGTTGACCTTGATTGAGATTTCATTTCCCACCACGAAAATCCATGGCTGTGATTGGCTGTTGACCATTTTAGTGTGCTATTTTCGTAACTTTCCCAAGGACGTCGTTTCTATGATGTATAAATAAACGAAAGTTGTGTGCTTGATTGTATTGTGTGATTGCTGGGTGTTTGTAGCCTATACTTTCCACGCCTACCAGCTTGGGATTCAAGGTAGCCTATCTGGACGCTGGTAATAGTCTCGTTCACGTTTATCGACTAAGGTGAACTCATAATAGGTTCAAGCGTACCTAGTGATGAATATGACACATAATGAGTGACCTTGGGTTAAATCATCGTTGCCAAGCTCTTGGAACTTTTATGAGCAGGTTTGCATTTTCGATATTCAGAAACACTATCCCTAATGTGAGATGTGCCAGTGATTGTGAAAACAAAGAAAAGAGCACCAACTAAAATCAAGCTAAAAAAATTCTTTCACATCATCTCAAAATCATATATGTGACACGTTTACTTCTTTCTCAATTAACATTACATTTCTACAAACGACATTTTATGACAATATTCAAGTAATAACCGATGGGAAAGATTACTTATTTGAATAGTGTTTGAAGCAGAAATCCATGAAGTCATTGACAACGGAAGTGAGTCATGTTGGTAGATGTAGGCTATCTGTTTGGGGTCCGCGAGACCATAGTCACCAATGGTTAGAGACATTGAACGACATGGCTCAAAATCGTTTGCAATGGCACAGGTGCATCCACTCTTTGAGCTCTCTCAAATCCTAATCTTGTGGATTCGTCAGCACCTCTACCTTTGTCTTTCTAACCTTATCTCACTGAATCATAGTTCTTGAAAAATATCTTCAAACCCTAGTCTTCTTCATTACCATTATTACCTCTACTATCTCTATCACTTGAGATTTGATTTGACATTTGCATCTCTGTGCTAATAATGTGGTATGGCAACCTGAACTTATGTACATATGTACGAAGTTCTACGTTGCAACTGACTGACTGACTGACTAAGTGTATGAAGATAATTTAACAACTGGTATTACACAGAATTGATCATTGAAAATACCTATGTAACTAGGCGCATCGTAAATAAATTTAATGATTTCAGGATTTCAATAGTAGTAGTAGCAGTAGTAATGTCATTCTAAAATCAGTATGAACAGGCATACCAGAAACGAGTCACTTACTAGATACAAGTAAATCCCAATTCTCTTGAGTATGTTCAGTTAATAATGCTGTAATCGATTTTCGACTGAAAAAATGTTCTGTATGTGCCGGTATATCAGATACAATACGATGAAGGAAATTCCTGAGACCATCATAATCTTTTCTGTAAGTATAAATTGAAATGGAACAGCTTTTTACAATAACTACTCAAATTCATGTGACTGGCTCAATAATCATATTGAGTAGGGAGATAGTGTTTTATAAAAGTGTTAGCATATTCATCCAATATCCTAAGAGAATTATTGGTCAAATCCTAATGTTGTCTCTTATTGGTCATCTGGACTGTCAATGTCATTTCAAATGTTCTTTCTTATTGGTCGTCCTGACTATGAATGTCACTTCAAATGTTACTTCCTATTGGTCGTCTTAACTGCCAATGACACACACTTCGACGCTGTTTCCTATTCGAACAATTTGTATAAATACGCATTATTTGCAACATTTTATGAACATGACCAGGACCAGGGCTCGGTCCTGGGTCCCTAGTCCGGGATCCTGATTCTCTTCTGGATTCGGACCACGTACTTTATAGGTGCTTGTAGAATACACGTTCTACTTCACATTCAAGTCTTCTTATTTTCACTAAATATGGGGGTTGGGATAATCGCATTTGAGTAGCATGTCGTGTCACCCGATCCTCGATCCTCGCTTTCGTTTTCCGACTAGGTAAACTCGTGACAGTTCAAGTATATCAAATTGTCGAGTTTGCGTGCAGGCGTAACAAAAAGAAATATTGATACTAATTAGTTGTTGTTAAGATCTATCCATGTGAAGTAGGTGTTGAAGATGTAGCCGAATAATACACAAAGCCGATTGTTTTAATCAATCAGCTAGTCAGTGCTGAACTATGCCATCGAAACAACTTGTATGATATCTGTGTAGCAGCACATGTCTCAACCTTCAACAGTTGAGATGGTTAAGACATGTGCTGCGTATGCCTCGATGAGCTTTGTTTTGTAGTGTAGGAATATGGCAACATGAGCTGATGTACTTATGTACAAAGTTCTACGTTGCATCTGACTGACTGACTGACTGACTGACTGTAGGAATAGGTTGGAAGAAATCTCGGGGCGGCCAAACCAAAACATGGCACAAATCCAAGAAGTCATTGACAAGTGGACTTAGCCATGTCGGTAATTGTCGACTACCTGGTTGCGGTCGGCGAGATGATAATAATCGATGGTTAGAGACCCTCAATGACATGGCTCAAAAACGTTTACAATGGTGATGGTGCATTTATTCTCTGTGTTCTCTTAAATTCTAATCTTCTGGATTTTTCAACACCTCTAGTTCTGACTTTCTAAACTTTACACACTGAATCATATTTCTTGAATAATATCTTCGAATCCTAACCTCTTCGATAACTTCTAATACCTTTACAACCTCTACTACTATTGGATTTGAATTGACAATTATATCTCTGTGCTATTGTGGTATGGCAACATGAACTGATGTACTTACACGTACGACGTTCTACGTTGCATCAGACTGACTGACTGAAAATGGACTAAACAGATTGAGAAGCATTGCTAGAAACCTGGAGGCACCAGATGGCTGTCGAGTCCCAAGTACGAGACTCTCATCAGCAATACGCATCCATGACTTCCGCTCGCGGGATTTGAACCCCGAAACATGTGGCGAATGCTTGCTTAACCTCTAGACCATCAATTAGCATCCAACGGTGGTGTTCATGACTAAATTTAATCAATAAAAATTAAGTAGCACCATTTATTGGTTGCATACAATCAAGATTACTAGAGTTGAAGGTCCTCAATAATTTCTTAATAATATTAAACTATATTAAATTTAGACCACCATTAGAAACCTCGAAGCACTGGACGGCCGTTTCGTCCGGGTATGGGACTCCTCAGCAGTGCGCGTCCACGACTCCTGCACCCCGCAGGATTCGAACCCACGGCCTTCGGTATTGTGAGCGAACGCCCTAACCGATAGACCACTTAGCCGGCATCTAACAGCGTTAATGTATAAATTGATCAAATTCACGGAGTTGCGCAATCTCATACACAGTCTTCGGTAGTTACTGTCTACACCCGAACAGGTTGAACTTCACTGGTCACGTCTTCGCACTAGAACTCGGAGAACATTCCTCACGACGCTAGTCACTAGTGAGCACAGGTAATTTGCATTACGAGGAGTTTCATACCAGGACGAAACGGCCGTCCGGTGCTTCCAGGTTTCTAATGGTGGTCCAACATTGATCGGTTCATGGTTTCAAAAATGTGTAACTTAACAATCGTCACAAACCCGTAATGCATGTATTAAATTTACAACTTCAATACGATTGTTTTCTTTAGGATAATAACGAAATAGATAAGAAATTTTTTGAAAAAAACATTTGCGAAAGAACCCATACTTATTCATAAGAAAAAACTATAATTATTTCATTCGTTAATTAGTAAACTAAAATAACATACGTCAATATGAACAGACCAGTAAGCGATTTGATTGAGGTAGCAATCTCGTTAGACGATTGATTTTCAACACTCTTCCAGAAAATCTGTTCAATATCTTTAACTTGGAACGATACTTTGAAATGCCTAGTTTCACGAAATAATTGACAAGCATACACCACAGGATTGACAACATTATCAAGAGATAATTTGAGTTCAAGAAAGGATGGATTCTTTGGAGATGTTGTATCTAAAAAATTGAAGTAAGACTTAATTAGTAAAATTAAGTGTTAAATTGGTAAAAGCTTGAAAAAAACAGAGAGCCGTTAAACTTAACAACAAAATCATTTGTTACACATTTTTGAAACCATGAACCAATCAATGTTAGACCACCATTAGAAACCTCGAAGCACTGGACGGCCGTTTCGTCCTGGTATGGGACTCATTGACAGTCTTACCACTAGAACTCGGAGAACATTCCTCACGAAGCTAGTCACTAGTGAGCACAAGTAATTTGCATTACGGGGTTGTGAAGATTGTTAAGTTACACATTTTTGAAACCATGACGTGACCAGTGAAGTTCAACCTGTTTGGGTGTAGACAGTAACTAGCGAAGACTGTGTATGAGATTGCGCAACTCCGTGAATTTATCAAGTTAGACATTAACACCGTTAGATACCGGCTCAGTGGTCTATCGGTTAGGGCGTTCGCTCATAATACCGAAGGTCCTGGGTTCGAATCCTGCGGGGTGCAGGAGTTGTGGATACGCACTGCTGAGGAGTTCCATACCAGGACCAAACGGCCGTCCAGTGCTTCCAGGTTTCTAATGGTGTTCTAACATTGGTCGATACATGGTTTAAAAAATATGTAACTTAACAATCTTCACAACCCCGTAATGAAAATCATTTGTGTTAAATTTAAAACTTAACTAAAATAAGTATTTCAGTTAAACGAAACCAAATCAGTAATAACCTAATGCGCAAGAGAGAAACGAAAAACCAGATCCAACAAACTGAGAGAGAGATTTTAGGAAAAAGTGGTAGAGGTGGATAGGAAAACTAATGAACAAAGCACCCAACTGCATCACAAGGCAAGCCCTTAACCTGAAATCCTCAAGCCCAAAAGAAAAGTAGAAAACCAAGGAACACATTATGTCGAGAATTCGGAAACACACATGAAAAGAATGAATAGAAATTCAATGTACCTGGAAAGGAAGACTAACGAGTTGGTTGGAGAATGCTGATCGCCGGCCTATGCTTCACTTGGGGGTAACAGGAGCAAGTATCAGGTAAGTAAGGCAACACAACTAAATTAAACTACAACAATAACATTAGTAGTAATGTAGTGAGCGAGAATACAGGTGAGGGCAACCCAATTGTATTTAACGAAAATTACAGAGTTACTCAGTAAAATTGGAAAACTATATCGTAAATCGTTCATTTGCAAAATATCAGTTCATCATATCGAACTGGACTGTTCCTGTTGCAAAACATCAATCCATTGTCACTATTCATGCGTTTCAAACAAATTCCATTGTTTTCGAACTCTTCCTTTCTTGATCTTCCCCCATCTTCGGCTGCCAGACATTACGTTGACACTCACGTCATATACTACTTATAAGTAGCTCACACCACAGTAGTAGTAGCGATTATATAGCAGTTATAAAGGGATTAGAATAACTCAGATAGAGAAATAAGTTCTGTTCTTAGCAACCACCTGATGGAAAATTAAGCTGAAATCGAGTCACTAACTATTGATCAATGTCGACACCAATTACATACAACGTTGAACTTAGTACATAATTTACATCCGTTCCAATTGCCAAACTGCATTACCATACCGAAGTCAAATTATCAAAGAAAATCCTAGAGTAAAAATAGTGAAGGTAACGGAACTGAAAAGATTATTGATGAAAAGAAAAAAAAGTATTGATTTTTAGAACTTAGGACCTAAAAGGACAACTCATTTAAACACAATTAGTGTTATAAATGGGCATCTAAGTGATTATGCACCACAGAAATCAGGGATTTCGTAAGTTATCTGGGTTACTGTCCAGGTGCCCAAACCGAAGTAGGTAGTTTTCTTAGGGAGTCAGTCCAAAAGCCTTTGATCTACAGGTCTAATCCACCAGATGGTGGGGCAACGTCAACAGATGCAGTCCTGTGGCAGTCAACGACTAACAATAGGTTCATACACCACTTGTTTCCTTACGATCATAAAGCACATACGCGCCAATTGTTCGGAATCAGGGATTTCCAACTTCCATAGATAGATATTCCCTTTTCGTATTATCCGTTTCGTAAGACCCCAGCGACAAGAAGGCAGTGAGTGGCTATACAGACATGGGCATATGAGAACATTTCGAGAGGGACGGCAAGCCCTCCCGATTCTTGACCATCTAGGGCATTTGGAAGCACAATTTGGAAGGATCGTAAACTGTTACGTCTCGACTCCAACTGCTGGTAATGACGAATTCCCAATAGTTTGCATTTACCTATACAGCCCAATTTAGGTTTAGACGTTTTGGTCAATCTTTAGATTTCTTCCAGCCTACCTAAACAACAGACAACATTGCCAATAGAGGCAATGTTGTTGGGCGTAATTAATACATATCAAAATTACAGTTCTTGAAGTTTTACTACGTTATCAACCGATTCGCCATCTTTATTTAGTATCCTAAGATTAACTTCAAGATTCATAGAATAGATCTAATACCTCTAATACAATGGGATTTGAATTGATAATTCCGTCTCTGCGCTAATATTGTATGGCAGGCAATCTGAACTGATGTACATACACGTAGTAGCAGTAGTACTCAGTATAATCTAGGATTTTAACTTGCAGGTATACATGTGAACTGACAGTGAAACAGTCATGAAACTGTGTTTACAGAATAAAAAATTGCAAATTCTTCAAACATATACAATATCATAGAATATAATTGCGTAAACATGTACATACCTTCTGGATTCTTGATTACGTCTTGATTACGATTTTCAGATTGCTGGGTAGCGCATTGTTTATAAACTAAGAAGAAAATTTATAATCAAAGAAAAGACTCAGAATTTGTATAAAATAAAAACGTTACAAGTCATTAACATGGAAATTATGGTAAGCACCGACTAGCTAATGTAGCCCCGGGCACACTTAGGGTTACTGCTAACTTCAAAACAGAGAAAGACGAGATTACAATGAATGTTGTTCAGTGTTATACGCCTGCCAACGATTACAATGAAGTCGATAAAGATGAACTCTATAACAAGGCTGTAGTCAATCGTTGAGAAATTCCTAACAAACGAATGAAACATTCTAATGGGGGACTTAGACACCAAGGTTGGCATGGACGATACTGGATACGACCACATCACGTAACAGCATGGAGAATAGGAGAAAATGTAAAGGGATTCGTAAATTAGGTGCGTAGAGCACTTTGAAGAACTGTTCTATAGACCAGCACCTACAAAACATTCTATGAATGAGATGCCGAAATCATTTGAATAAATCAGCATAATCATCGGAATAAATGAAGAGTGATGCAGCAGCAGTACCAGAAAACATACCAGCTGAGGCACTGAGGGAAGACATAGCAATGTCGCAAAAGATTCTGCACACTATATTTAGCAAGATTTGGGAGGACAAACAACTACTAAACAAACTGGAAGGAAAGATACCAAAGAAAAGCGATCTCAGTAAAAGTGAAAACTATTGAAGCATTACTATACTCTTAGTACAAGCAAAAGTCTTCAACAGAGTAAAACGCTTCGTACACGCCTAAAATCCGAAATCAACAGACCGGATTCTGAGTGGATCGATCGTGTACCGACCTAATCGCAATGATTGTGGTGTAGCGGTAGGCTGGAAGGAAGCTAAGGTTAGACATTCGTATATAATTACAACAGTTCAGGCTGCCATACCACATTAACAACCTGAACAGTATTTATGAAGTTGAAATAGATACAGGGAACCTGAAGAGAGGGAGAGATTTTTAAGGATGGTAGCACAGTTTCAACAGTTAGATTGACTGATGGTATAATCCCATCTAACTGGCGTCAATCCCAGGTTCTTCCAGTCTTCCAGTGACAATCACAGAAGAATTACTCCAACTAATATAATTTCTAAATTGTTAGCCTCGATTATACTTAGATGCCCAACTAGAGCTCGTGAAAAACAAACAACAGAAAACCAGACTGGTTTCAGACCACGACATGGCTAAATAGACTACATTATCACAATACGACAGGTCCTGGAACAGAGACAAACATTTAGGCGCCCGAAAATAGTTGTCCGTGGCAGCGTCTGTCATTAAAAGGTGGATTAACCTTATACAAGCTCTCTACTCGAACACTACTGGTCCAGTTAGAGCTTAAGGTGAACTTACATCAGAATCGATTACTTTAAGTGCTGTCCGTCAGGGCTGCCCACTCTGTCCATTCTTGTTTAACTTTGTCAAAGACATGCTTTTACAGATGACACTTTTCTCATCTGACTTTTTAGAGGTGGACATTCTACCAGCAGACCTGCTTATTGATTTTGAATAAGTCGATTACATAGTTCTATTTGGTGAAGATACTGACAATATGCAAAGTCTTCTGATTACCCTAAGCAACAATGCAAGCATATTCGGGATGCGGTTCTCTCCGCCGAAATCCAAATGTTGCTTCAAGATTGGATTGCGTTGGCAACTGAACTAGTGGTAAGGAGTCGAGCTAACCAAAGGACGAGTGTACCGTGCAGCAGTTCGCTCCGTCCTACTATACGGATGCGAAACATGGCCGTTAAGAGTAGAGGACTTTCGTAGGTTACTAGTCTTCGATCACAGATATCTTAGAAGCATTGCTCGTGTATCCTGGGACAACCGAGTGAGCAACGCTGTTATTAGGAAACGGGTGCTAGGTAAGAATGGCAGATCAATAGATGAAGTAATGAAACTTCATCAGTTGAAGTGGTTGAGACATTTATTACGTATGCCTGACCACCGACTGCCTCGACGAGCTATGTTTTGTGGTGTAGGAGTAAGTTGGAAGAAATCTAGGGGCGGCCAGACCAAACCATGGCAGAAATCCATAAAGTCACTGACGAGTGGACTGAGTCATATCGATAGATGTAGGCTACCTGGTTGGGGTCCGCGAGACGAATGTCAACGAAGGTTAGAGACCTTGAATGGGGATTATAATCGTTTGCAATGGCACAGGTGCATCCACTCTTTGTGTTCTCTCAAATCCTAATCTTCGGGATTCGTCAACACCTCTACCTTTGTCTTTCTAAACTTATCTCACTGAATTATACTTCTTGAATAATATTTTCAAATCCTAATCTTCTCCATTACCAGGAATTCTTCTACTATCTGAATCGCTATAGGATATGAACTGACAATGGCGTCTCTGTGCTAATTTGGTATGGCAACATGAACTGATGTACTTTACTTACGTTACGAAGTTCTGTGTTGTAACCGACTGACTGACTGATTGACTGAATTACAGTAGGGGAAATGAATTCACATTAAAAAAAAAACACATAATTTTACGAAAGGAGAAAAAAGAAATAATTTTTTTATTTGCTGAAAATAACATACACGATTTTGTTTCATCGACCAGCATTTGAAGCTGTGAATCATCTCTAGCCGCCAGTTTCCAAAAAGGTTGTAATTCTTCTTCTTTCTGTAAAACAATTATGTAATTGTAACCTCATGTTTGATTTGATAATTTTAAACAAATTAAGCATTGGGTAGAATGTTGTTGATGGCATAATAATAATTTCTCTGTAAATGAATAGTGAACTCCGCCTGAAGACTCTCTGGGCCCTCTAGATAAAAGAGGAGGGTTGGGCATGGTGTGGGCGACAACATCCCATAAAAAAAAACTAACTCGTCAAAAAAAAACGTTAACTATAAAAATCAATTCACACAATTTTAACTATGCCCTGGGAGTTAAATGGTCTTCTTTCAGAAGAGTTATGACGCCTCATGATAAAAACCGAGTTTCTTCATATTTCATGAGACCTATGCCTCTTCTGACAATCAGAGCAACCATTCTTTCAGTTACATACAATGTTCGAACATTGTGGGAGACTGGAAGACTATTATTCCAAGTTGCTGCAAAAATGAAAAGATACAACTTGGAGGTGCTTTGAATCAATTAAACGCATTGGACGCAAGGTGGACAACTGAGACAAGCTTCAGGAGAGCTGCTGTTATACTATGGCCATAAAAAAGAAAACGCCTCACATACACAAGGAGTTGCACTGATGTTGGTCCAACCAAACACAAAAGGCACTGATAGCATGAAAATCTCATGGACCCAGGATCATCAAAGCATCCTACAAAACGAAGAAAGAGGACATTACAATCAACGTCATCCAATGTTATGCACCTACCAATGACTACAGTGACGACATTGAAGATCAATTCTACGAGAAGCTGCAGTCAATCGTCGATAGATGCTCACCAAAGGATTTGACTATTCTGATAAGAGACCTAAATGCCAAGGTTGGCATGGACAGCACTGGATATGAAGACATCATGGGACGACATGGACTGCGAAAAAGGAAAAAAACCGGTGAGAGATTTGCAAACCTATATGCCTTCAACAAACTGGTCATCGGTGAAACAGTTGTCCCAAACAAACGCATACAGAAAGCTACATAGATTTCATCCAATCACACTACTCAGAACCAAATCGACCATATCTGTATCAATAAAAAGTCCGGAAGGGCCACTGAAGATATGAGAGTCAGTCAATCAGTCAGTTACAACATAGAGCTTCGTACATAAGTAAAGTATATCAGTTCATGTTGCCATACCAAATTAGCACAGAGACGCTATTGTCAGTTCATATCCCATAGCGGTTCAGATAGTAGAAGAATTACTAGTAATGGAGAAGATTAGGATTTGAAAATATTATTCAAGAAGTATAATTCAGTGAGATAAGTTTAGAAAGACAAAGGTAGAGGTGTTGACGAATCCCGAAGATTAGGATTTGATAGAACACAAAGAGTGGATGCACCTGTGCCATTGCAAGCGATTATAATCCCCATTCAAGGTCTCTAACCATCGGTGAATTTCATCTCACCAGGTGGGAAACGTTTTCGGACATCCATCAGTTTGGTGGGTGCTATTGAGATCCACGACTTCTTCCTAACCTTAAAGGTTACCTTACTAGCAGATATCACCGCTGTTTCCACAGCCTTTTTGATATCATTCCAAACTGCCTCCGAATCGAGATCACTTACATGGTCGCCTAACTGTTTTTCTAGCTGTTCCTGAAATTTATTCATAGCTCTGCTATAATTAAGTAGAACCCTGACAGGTTTCCTTGCAGTCTCTTTCCTACTTCCAGTAAGTCTCAAAGAAATACGCGCTCGCACTAGAGCATGATCTGAATCTAAACAAGTGACCCAGAAGGAGCGACAGTCCTCTATCGAACCCTTCCATCGGTGGCTGATGGCAATGTGATCTAGTTGGGTCCAACGTTGAGACGACTTTGGAGGTCGCCATGTCATGAGATGCTTTTCCTTTTGCCTAAAGTTAGTGTTTGCTAGAAATAGGCGGTTATCTAAGCACAGTTGCAAAAGACGGTCGCCATTGTCTGTTCTCTGAGCCTCAACACCATAACATCACTCTAGGTGTCTCTCCTGTTACTTAGTCCACCTACTTGAGCATTAAGGTCATCAGCCATTATTACTATATCAGAGTGCCTAACTTTTTGGAGGAGGTCCGAAAGCTTTCTTTAGAACTCATCTTTCCCACCGTCTGGACTGCAGTCAGTGAGAGCGTAGGCATATAAGACGAAGAAGCAACAGCGAGTGTCCCTGTCCTTCCAAGTCTTTACTGTCCAGTCCAGTCGGACGGTGCACTGTCTACAGGGATCCAGTCTAGGAGCGCTAGTTCTTCTCAACGACTCAATGCTATACCTACACCAGTGAGACCCCTGAAAGCAGCATCAGGACTTCCAGATACACGAAGGGTAAATTGAGTTGCTTCTTTATCTTGAAATGGTGAGGTCAAGTGAATAACGCAACTCGGATCCTGTATGCGCGTTTCCGAGACGCAGCATACATCGATGGCACGAGATACTTAAGTCCTACATAATGAAGCCTGTTAACCTATTTGACACAATGTCCGTACATTAAATGCTCCAACATGCAGTTTAGAACGGGACTTCAAGAGACCAGGAATAAAGTTTCGAGGACTCGAATCGTTTGCAGCAGACGTGTGGGGAGATAAAGGAATGTGAGTAGAGTTAGTCGTGGAGATATGAGAGGTAATAAGCCTTTTTATGAAAGGATTTTTGAGTATCAGCTCCGCTCTTAAAAGCCCTTAGTGGGCACCAATACCGACGGAGAAGGAATTCCGTGAGGTAGGGTGAGGTGTGACATTTTTAGGGTCGAACTTTTCTGACGCTTTCTCCCTTGTGAGAAGGGAGCATCGCTGCAGATGCTGGTTGTCCGAGGGAAAAACCTTACTGTTGTCACACCCCTCTGCAGTCAGCAGTACGACTTCGCCCTCAGACGTTGAGTAGCTGCCTTCGGTCTCATCGTTCTCCAATCGACCTGCCTGGCATGGTAGGACCTACAGGAACATATGTTCCAGCCAGTATAGCTCGGTTGGGTCATCACGATAGGCAAGCCCGACCACCACATCAAGGTAATAGATACATATACAGGGGATGGCAAATCAATAGATGAAGTACCGAAACTTCATCATTTGAGGTGGTTGGGACATGTATTACGTATGCCCAACCACCGACTGCCTCGACGAGCTATGTTTTGTGGTGTAGGAGTAGGTTGGAAGAAATCTAGGGGCGGCCAAACCAAAACATGGAAGAAATCCATGAAGTCACTGACAAGTGGACTGAGTCATATCGGTAGATGTAGGCTACCTGGTTGGGGTGCGCGAGGCGAAAGTCAGCGATGGGTAGAGACCTTGAATGACGTGGCTCAAAACCGTTTGCAATGGCTCAGGTGTATCCACTCATCTCTGAAATCCTAATCTTAAGAATTCCTCATCACTTTTATCTTTCTCATTCTAAACTTATCTCACTGAATTATACTTCTTGAATAGTAACCTTCGAGCCTGAATATTCTCTATCACTGTTAATACTTCTACTACCTCTACACCACTATGGGATTTGAACTGACAATTATTGCGTCTCTCTCTCTATGCTAATGTGGTTTGGCAACATGAACTTATGCACTTACGTACCAAGTTTTATGTTGTGACTGACTGAATTTAAAAAAAAAAAGAACACTTGTGGATTTATAATAGAAAGATATATGCTTTTACATCTCAGCAATACATCCATATTATCAATAAGGAAAAGCGTCAATCATAATCATCATCATAATCAAAATCATTATTAATAATAATAATAATAATAATAATAATAATAATAATAATAATAATAATAATAAAGTAGACCAACTAACCAAACCACCAAGAATAGCAAAACGAAGTAATGAACGTAAATACGTGTCAGTAGCAGTAGTTGTTTGATTCAAATGGATCATCTTGAAAATTTCTAAAGCAGCTGCAGTATATCCACGAGCTAATAGAATTTTCACTGTATTTAATGCAGAATTATTTGAGTTAAGCGACAAAGGTGTTCTGGTTAATAACTATAATACAAGAAGAAAAGAAAATTAATGAATCAGCACACTTTGTGGGTTTTAAAGTAAACTATTACAAAAAATAATTACAAATAGTTTTGATTTATAAACAGATTATTGTTTTATTAAACGGTTTATTATTATTAGCTGTAAAACATTTCTCTTTTCATTTAAATCAATCATATTAACCGGCCTGTTATGTCAGTCAGTCAGTCAGATGCAACGTAGAACTTCGTACGTAAGTACATCAGTTCATGTCGCCATACCACACATCAGCACAGAGATGTAATTGTCAATTCAAATCCAATAGAGTAGAAGAGGTTGTAAAAGTATTAGAAGCAATCGAAGAGGTTAGGATTAGAAGATATTATTCAAGAAGTATGATTCAGTGAAAAAAGTTTAGAGAGTCGAAACTAGAGGTGTTGAAGAATCCAGAAGATTAGCATTTGAGAGAACACAAAGAATAAATGCACTGGCGCCATTGCAAACGGTTTTGAGCCACGTGGTTCAGGGTATCTAACCATCGATTATTATCGTCTTGCGGACCCCAACCAGGTAGTCGACAACTACCGACATGGCTAAGTCCACTACTCGTCAATGACTTCATGGATTTCTGCCATGTTTTGGTTTGGCCGCCCCTAGCTTTCTTCCAACCTATTCCTACACTACAAAACAAACCTCGTCGAGGCAGTCGGTGGTTAGGCATACGCTACACATGTCCCAACCACCTCAACTGATGAAGTTTCACTACTTCATCTATCGATCTGCGATCCTTACCTAGCACCCGTTTCCTAATAACCGCGTTGACCACTCGGTTGTCCCAGGATATACGAGCAATGCTTCGAAGACACCTATGATCGAAAACCAGTAACCTACGAATATCTTCTACTCTCATTGTCCATGCTTCACAGCCATAATGCAGGACGGAGCGAACTACTGCGCAATACACTCTTCCAATAGTCAGCAAACGGATACCTCGCCTCTGTATCCATGTTGATATTTCGTCAGTCACCAGGCCATCAGCACTGATGAGACTCCCAAGATAAGTGAAGTGGTCTACACGTTCGACTACTTCACTCCCTATCACTAGTTCAGGTGCCGACGAAACCCAGTCTTGAAGCAACATTTTGCATTTCGACAGGGAAAACCGCATCCCGAATATGCTTGCATTGTTGCTTAGGGTGGTCAGGAGATTCTACATCCACACCTGTCATTGACAGGTGTGCCAAAGAAGTAAAACATTTCTCTTTTCATTTAAGTCAATCATATTAACCAGCCTGTTATGTGACTGACTTCTTAGTTAATGTTGAATATCGAAGATCAAAAGTCAGAACAATAAATCAGTAGTTTGTAAAATGTGAGTAACTGAACTTACATTCCATTTGAATGTCTTTTAACATACTATAAAGAATACTTTAAAAATTAGATTATCAACTTTGACGAGAAAACACATTAGCGTAAGTGATTAATTAAAGAAAATGAGCAATAATGAGATTGGATTTAAAATTCTGTAAAATCATACAAAATTAGAAGTTTACTAATAGATTAACTCTAATTAATATCATGTAGTTGTATAATCCAGTGAGATAAATTTAAAAAGAGAAAAAACGTCATGATTGGAGGTTAGAACTCGATAGAAGACAAAGAAAGAAGTAGGAAGAACAAGTACTAACAGACTGGAAAGAACACATCATCAAGATACTGAAGGAAGATCTCAGTAAGTGTGAGAGCTACAGGGACATCATTCTACCCTCAATACCAACAAAAGTCTTCAACAAAGTGAAACGTTTCGTAAACACCCAACTACGAGATCAACAGACCGGATTCCATAAGGATCGATCGTGCACCGATCTAATCGCAAGCGACACTACAGACCACTGATGAAATATCAATTGGATCGAACTCACCATTTTACAACAACTTCAATGACTATGAGAAAGCAATAGATGGCGTGGACAGGATGACAATATGCAGGCTTCTTCGACATTATGATGTGCCTGAGAACACAGTCAGTCAGTCAGTTGCAACGTAGAACTTCGTACGTAAGTAAATCAGTTCATGTCGCCATACCACATCAGCACAGAGATGTAATTTTCAATTCAAATCCAATAGTAGAAGAGTTAGTAAGGGTATTAGAAGTAATCGGACAGGTTAGGATGAGAAGAGAACACAGTCAACATCATACGGAATTCTTACGACGGACCAGACTTATCCCAAGAAGACCACTGTCACACAAGTTTGTTTACTCTCATCCTTACTCTTTCTCCTGGTGCTTAACTGCATCATTAGGACCCCAATTTCTCAGGGCAAACACGTAATACAATAAACTGTTCCGACGCAGCTGCACGATCTGGACTTTGCAGATCACCCACCTCTTCTATCCTACACGCAACTACAAATGCAAAAGAAGACGGCTGGTGTAGCAGCAGCCTTTGCAACAGTAGGCTTCAATATACACAAGGGAAGGAGCAAGATCCTCCAATACAACACAATATGCACCAAACAAATAACACTTCAAGGAGAAACTTTGGAAGGTGTGCAGACCTTTACATACTTGGTCAGCGTCAGCAAGACAAGTGCAGCATTTCTACAACTGAACAACATCTAAAACTCTAAAACAACTATCAACCCACAGCAAATGTTACAATCTTCCATATGGACGTCAAAATAGTTCTATTGTTTGGAGCGAAAACTTGGAGAACTGCCGAAACCACCATCTCGACCAATTTGGTCTCTCGTGCTGTTATGGGGAGGAGGGCGGTTGTCACTTCCCGGCTGCCCACACCGTTGAAGGTTGTTTCTTGAGGGACCTGAAAAGGAAGGTAGATTAGTGTTGGTCTTGGAGACCTGGGAGAGTGACCGCAGAGTCCAAGGGACGACTGCTTGAGGCCGATCACGCACGGCCTTTATATGAAAGGTATTTTGATGATTAGCTCCGTTCTTAAAGGCCCTTAGTGGGCACCCTTACTCAAGGAGACGGAAATCCGTGAGTTACATTATGAGGTGTGACATTATTAGGGTCGACCTTTTCTAACCCTTCCTTCCTTGTGAGAAGGCAGCATCGCTGTAGATGCTGGTTGTCCGAGGGAAACACCTTACTGCTGTCACACCCCTCTGCAGTCAGTCAGCAGTACGACTTCGCCCTCAGACCTTGGGTAGCTGCTTTTAGTCTCATCGTTCTCCAATCGACCAGCCTGCAGGAACTTATGTTCCAGCCAGTATAGCTCGGTTGGGTCATCACGATAGTCAAGCCCGACCACCACGTCAAGGTAGCAGCTACGGTCGGGGAAACCACCATCTAGATACAGATGTTTACTAACAGTTGTCCACGCAAGATACTGGGAATCTGTTGACCAGAAAACCATCAGCAACAACCTACTGTGCGAGGCAAAAAATCAGATTCCAGCTGAGGAAAATATTAGGAAAAAGCGGTGGAGGTGGATAGGAAAACCATTGAGGAAAGTACCCAACTGCGTCACAAAGCAAGCCCCAAACTGGAATCCTCAAGGCCAAAGGAGAAGTGGAAAACCAAGGAACACATTACGCCGAGATTCGGAAACACATATGAAAGGAATGAATAGAAATTCGATGCACCTGGAAAGGAAGGCCGATGGTAGAGTTAGTCGGAGAATGCTGATCGGTGGTCTATACTCTCTTAGGGATAACGAGCATAAGAAGGTAAGTTAAACAAAGGAAATGAATATAACTATCAATAACACAACGGAAAATATACAAAACTTAGTGAAAATAAACAAATAACTGATAACCAACATAAAAAAAATATCATACTTCGCAACATGTTGCATCAGGGTTATTTTTTGAACAAATAAGCTTCGTGTAAATATCCAAGATAAATGAGGTTGAAAATACAAAAGAATCAGGTTGTTCTGCATTGTTTATTTTTATTGGTTGGAGAACAGTAAGAGCCTCATTAAGTGTTTTCATCAAACTGCTTTCATCCCCAAGATCAGCATATGCAGATAAAATAGCTTCATATCCAATTCTTGATGGCCATAAACCGATATCTGACAATTTTTGTTGCAAAGAAGTCATTTCATCGGGTAAACTGAAAAACAAATGTTCATCATTTTAGAATATAAAAAAAAGATGGATAATAATTGTTAATACATAAAAATGTATGGTAAATGTTTCATGATGGAAACCATATTTTTATTATCTATGAAGTCTAAATTTCAGAGAGTAAAAATGGAGCATACGTGACTGCTAGAAAAAAAATCTGCAACTGTGTAATTAGATACATGTTAATGCGGTGTTTATGAGCAAAGTCAATCACATAACGGCCATTTTTGCTAATTAGCAGCCAAACGTTGTAGAATAAAGCATAGATCGCGGTCATAAAACAACTAATAGTCAAGGAGTAGAACCACTAACTTAACACTCAACCAGCACAAGGACAAAATGAATTTGCCTAATAAATTACAATAACTGTCTTACCCTATCATTTTAAACAAGATAAAACAGAGAATATTCCTTCTAATAAATTCTCTTCAAGTTCTACACTTATATATCCAGATTAGTGATGTAAAAGGTGACTAGGTTTGAGGCAAATACATTGTTTAAAATTTAAGGATGTGAATTTAAGATCATTAATTCGAAAAAAATAACTTTAGAACCTACAGATACTTCTTCACTTGCATTTTTAATATGATGGGGATTTTCTGGTGATTACAATGATATAAACTAAGATGCTGTAACCAAGTAAACTACGCTTGCCTTTTACTTTATGAAGTTACCACCAAGAAATTTATCCACAGTATATAGTCATTTCAGAACAATCAGATTTGTGCACTAATCCACTACGTCCAAGAACCGGACTAATAAATGAATTTTGTAAGTGGTCTGAGTTACCGTCCAGGTGACTAGACCGAAGTAGGTGGTTTTCTTAGGGAGCCATTCCAAGAGCTTTTGATCTACCCGACCGTAGCTGCTACCTTGACGTGGTGGTCGGGCTTGCCTATCGTGATGACCCAACCGAGCTATATTGGCTGGAACATATGTTCCCGTAGGTTCTACCATGTCAGGCTGGTCGATTGGAGAACGATGAGACTAAAAGGAGCTACTCAACGTCTGAGGGCGAAGTCGTACTGCTGACTACTGCAGAGGGGTGTGACAGCAGTAAGGTGTTTCCCTCGGACAACCAGCATCTACAGCGATGCTGCCTTCTCACAAGGAAGGAAGGGTTAGAAAAGGTCGACCTTAAAAATGTCACAACTCACCCTACCTCACGGAATTCCGTCTCCTTGGGTAAGGGTGCCCACTAAGGGCCTTTAAGAACGGAGCTAATCCTCAAAATACCTTTCATAAAAAGGCCGTGCGTGACCGGCCTCAAGCAGTTGTCCCTTGGACTCTGCGGTCACGCTCCCAGGTCTCCAAGACCAACAGTAATCTATCTTCGTTTTCAGGTCCCTCAAGAAACAACCTTCCACGGTGTGGGCAGCCGGGAAGTGACAACCGCCCTCATACCCGTAACAGCACGAGAGACCAATCTGGTCGAAATCAAATCCTTCCTACACCCACACATACCTCTCTTCTCTCCACAACTAACTCTACTCACATTCCCTTATCTGACTGCACCGTTAATGCAAACGATGCGAGTTCACGAAACGTCATTCCTGACTGACTGGTTAACTTTTTTACTTAGACTGCATTATTAAAACAAAAGAGAAATTTACATATCTATGCACCACGCAAATCAATGAATTTTGTAAGTGGTCTGAGTTACCGTCCAGGTGACTAGACCGAAGTAGGTGGTTTTCTTAGGGAGCCATTCCAAGAGCTTTTGATCTATAAGTCTAATCCACAAGGCAACAGAGCAATGTCAACAGACCCAGTTCTAGGGCAGTCGATAACCGGTAGTAGATTCATACGTCTTTGCTTTCCCTACTACAGACAATAATTCGGACAACTAAGAACTGGTTTTAAGTACGGAATCTGTTTCGCCATAGAAAAATTTGAAAAGACTTAAATATAAACAATAGATAGAAACCTAAGTTGTTTAGCTGAATCTAATTTCGGAACACCAAAAACGTTGATTAAAATGTACTTTTTGGCAAACCTTTTAATAACAGCCTTGACAGATAACTCAGTTAACTGGTTCGAATACTGTCTTAAGGTCAGAAAATACAACTATGATTAGGAGTCGGTAAAGATCTGGAGAACTTGGTTGACAAGACTCCCAAGATGAGAATCTTCGCCCCTTAATCTTTTCCATTACGGATAAGACTGCTACATTCTTTACTAATATGAGATCTAGACTAAAACGTCAATCACTTTGTGGCAATGCGGTATGGCAAATTCAACTGATGTAGGTACGTACCAAGTTCAGTGTTGCAGCTGACTGACTGGCTGATTATATCTTAGTGTCTTGACTTCTGAAAATCTAACAGCTGCTTGCTTACTTCCTCCTAACTGCAGCCCATAGGGTTTAGGTAGTCCATATTTTGTTGTCCATATTTTTTCCCTGAGCCACTGAAATGAAGAGCACATGCGCAACCATCGACGAAAATCTATGCGCTAACGTTTATTCACATACTTAGCTACACTTTGCGGTTGCGATCGGTCACAAGATTCAGCTCCTTGTAGATGGATCAGTAAACAAATATAAGCACTGTAGCTTTCTTGCAGCCTCTAAAACAGATGAGTCTGTCTTGTGATGGGACAAGTTCCGAGTACATCGTTACATAAAATTAACATTAGGAGTACATCTTAACAGCAAAGTGAAGAAATCAGAAGGAACTTGTTAGCTAATGTCAACTCGTAGTCTAAAAATGATGACTATTTACGGAAAAATGTTAAACTTTACAGCGAAAAGTAAGTGACGCTTACCCAGCTTTAATATAACCATGTAGAAGATAAGAAAAAGTATGCATGTTAGGATTGGCTCCAGACTCTTTTAACAAGCGTAAATATAAACTAGAACATGAATGTAGGATATGTGTCTTACTTTGCCTTCTCAATATCGCCAGCAACACAACTTTGACGAATAAAACATGCAAAAGTTCGCTGAAAAGTAAGGAGGGAAAAGTGAAAGATACCTGCGTAGGATTAATACTTGCCTCCTTCAGGCATGCTGAGACATCATCTGGATTAAAAACCATTCCTAAATTGATTCTCATTTCCATATAGTCTTCTACTAAGTTGATATCACTAGCTAAGAGCATTAAGTTAGCAAAAATGTTTTACTCTTAAGGATCTTATCCCAGATATCAAGTAATACTCTTTCAAGTTTCTCCGATTTGTACGTAACAGCCTTTAATTTGTAATTCTTCAAAAATTGTTTGATTCTCATAACATCAGGTTGGTATTTCACAAGGTCACATTTCTCAGTATTACTTCTGGGTACTAAAGTGGATAGTAATCTTTGATAGCTTTGGAGTTGATCGAATAAATATTTATTATGCCTAAGAGACGTTTTGTAACTGAATAACTGATGCCCTGTAACGGAACGCAGGTAAGGCACCACCACTGCCCCGTAGCGCAGCATTTTATAAATCCAATGCATCAAATATCCAATATCTTTTTCACTAGCGAGTATAAACCAATTGATTTCTTTGCTCTAGATTCTTGTTCTTTCGGTACGGTTCCAGGTGTTCGGTAATGTCCAATGGATGAAGGTCTAGCCACTTGACTGTCTAATTCTAATCAGTTGGCAGTTGTTTGTGAGTTTGTATGTCCCGTGATTAGAATTAAAACTTTTGATTCAGGGTAGCAGGGTTTCTGGCTATCAGCAGCTATCACGTTACCGAGGCGGGGATCATTCAGTTGCAGTGTGAATAATAATAAGGAGAAAATTCCCTAATCAGAAGAAGATTTCAAAATTAAGTAAATTAATAGATAATTTAGTTGATTAATTGGTAGTGAAGATTGCGCAAGCGGACGGAAGTGTAAGCAAAGTAAAGGAAACGGAAATAATAGGCAAGATAAATCAACCTAATGGTCTGAGGAAATGGAAATAATAACAACTAATAAGTCACAAGAATGCATCAGGGACAGCTGGTCCACGAGGGAGATGATAATCCGTGTGTAAGTGTTTATTAAGTTTCTTCCTAAAGCTGTCCTCTCAAAGGGCTGCGTTCACCTATACTGGCAGAGTGTTCCAGGTCACAACAACTCTCAATGAGAAAAAGCGCGCATGAACTTGAGTATTAACTGTTTGATACGCGATTTTTCGAGGATATACCTCGAGGGGAGTGATGGTGATGCATTGAAAAGATGCTCACGTTGGGAAGGTTTGGCGCACCTAATATGTTGTACGCCATGGTCAGACCACCCATGATTCGCCAATATTACAGGGGGATTAATCATATATGCTTGAGTCGATCTTTGTAATTTTTATATTTCAGCACTGTCACCCTTTTTGTTGCTCGTCTTTGCACTTGATCCGAGAGATTTATATTTCTTTTAGGGAGAGAGGGAGCGACGATAATGTGAACCTCAAGGTGTGAGCGTTCATATGTCTTAAAGAGCGTTAACATAGTATCAGACTGTTTGGCTGCAATACTCCAAGTGACATCTGTTAAATATTTCCATAACCGACCAATCAAGGAGAGAAAAAATTACCGTAGTATGAAAAGAATAAGAAAGGGTAGGAAAATTATCACATTACCCTAGACATAAATATTACCAGGGAAAAGTCAAGGTTATGACAAATTGTTTCTGCACACATAAGGGGGTTTTACTTTTCAGATAGCCAAGGCCTTCATAAACCTCAGAATTCGTCCTTCAACATTTCTGCACAATGTTTTGAAGACTGTCTTCCAATATCCAATATCTTTTTTACGAGTTAGTGTAAACCAATTTGATTTCTTCGCGCTCGATTCTTGTTCTTTCGGTACGGTTCCAGGTGTTCGGTAATGTCCAATGGATGGAGGTCTAGCCACTCGACTGTCTAATTCTAGTCACTTGGCAGTTGCTTGTGAGTTTATTTGTCTCGGGATTTGAATGAAACGTTTGTTTCAGGGCAGTAGGGTCTCCGGATACTAGCAGCCGTCACATTACCAAACCGGAGATCAGTTAGTTGCAATGTGGAGAGTAATATGGGTAATAAGGATAAATTAAAATGATAATATGAGTAAAATTTCAGAACTGAGTAATATATAGATGAATTTAGTTTATTAATTGGTAGTGAAGATTGTGAGAGAGGACCGAAGTGTAAGCAAGGGAGAGGAATAGGCGAGATAGATTAATTGAGTGATCTGAGGAGATGGCAATGGTAACAACTAGCAGGTCTCAAGATATGCATCAGGCACAGCTTGTCCAAGAGGGAGATGATAGTCCGCATGTGAGTACGTGATTATCAAGTCTCTTCTTAAAGCAGTCCACTGAGGGGGCTGTAACTACCTCGGCTGGGAGAGCATTCCAAGTTGCGACGACTCGCAATGAGAAAAAGTGTGCACGAATCTGAGTGTTTGCTCTTTGATGTGCAATCTTTAGAGGATTGCCTTGAGGACTGTCTTGATGTAAGTCCTATGATCTGTCTCAAATATGTGTTTTGCGATCGATGAACATGGTTTACTATTTCTCATGTTGACCTTTTATTAATCTTCGTATAAAATGCCTTGACAATTAAATATGTGTGACCAGATTGATCGAAATGTATAGCGCAAATACATCACATTTTTCAGATCAATTACGTCTTCTCACTTTTCTATCGGAATTAATAGAACGGACCAGTTGTTTTAAATTATCTTTGTTGTAAATGACCTGCTGATTGAAGGAGATCGTTATCTTATTATATTGACGTGACTCATAGTTTTATTCATTTCCATAAGACACTCTATATTGGTCCGTATGTTTGCTCGTTTCACTTGATCACTGTAATTTCCTTAATTATTGTACTAATCTAATTGATTTTATGTTTAGAAACAGGTAAAGTTAAAGCCAAGTTGTTCTTGTTCTGACTATAGCTTTCCCTTCGACTTCGTATTCCCCAATATTGCGTTCAAAGTTGTAACAGTATATTTGTAGGACGAATCAAAACCTACGAACTTTCCACCAATGCTCATCAGAAATTCATACATTGAGTACTTTTAGATGTCCACGGAGAATCATAAAACTGATCAGATTCTTGAATTGTCTGTCCACTACTCGGAAACTCATAATGATGACCAGTTTGGAAGAAATAGCTCCTGAATGTATCCCTTGTTTGAGATAGAATTAACTATAGTAGGTTTGACTCAGACAGAAGAAGAAATCGAGATAGAACGGTCGCGTTGAAGAGGAAGAGAATATTTTAGCCAAAATGTGGATGACAATGTTATGCCGTACGAGTCTACAGCTGTCTCACGTACAGCCGGACAACAATCAGACCTATCCAAGAGAGAGATCATAAGATTTGATGGTAATCCAATGATATGTCGGGATTTCATATGGAATTTCAGAGGGTGTTTCAATGAAAGCGTGGAATTTCGATCTAGGTTAAACAATCTGATTCACTTTTGTGATGGTAAGGCTAAGGCTACTATTGTTGATTATGCATTGCTTGAACGAGAAGAATGCTATCGTAAAGCGTTAGCGCTTCTTGAGGAAACATTGGGTCAGAAACACAGTAGATTATGCACTTATCGATAAGATGCTAAACCTCCCTGTTATTAAGGGGACTGATCCAGATGATCTAAGAAGGCTGGCTCATGAGATGCATATTTGTGAGCCAAGGCTAACACAAACGAACTATCCATCTGATATTAATTCTACAAAAACCATCGAATTCATGTTTTTAAAACTCCCACTATACCTACATGGGGAATTGGTTAAAGTAGCATGTCGAATTCTCAAAAAGGTTAGGGAGCCTTCATTCAAGGACCTCCGTGAATTTGTATAGGAACAGTCAGATATAGCTAATATTAGATAAGGACCACTTGTTAACCATGGCAATAATAGTGAAAAAATGGATTTCGGTGCTTTGAAAGGGAAAACTAGTGCCAGTTACAACACAGAAAGTATAGCATATGCGAGCGCTAATAATGTCAATGCCTCCTTACGTAGTTTACCCTGTCTGGAGTGCTCAAGCAGTCATTCAAATGTTAGAACAACACGGATATAAGCGAACAATATTGTTTTTGATTAGATCGTCATCAGGCATTACTGAAATATGCATGAATATTTATATGAAAATGTTAAACCAATCAATGCAATTTTGAGTCAATAATCACAATGATTACGTCACAACACATAATATGTAAAAGTACAAGTTGATAGTAGGAAGACAGGCATACTGATAATAATAAAATACGATAACAAAAGTTTTATCAATAGTTTGTAGTGGAACACTTCTACTAAGAAAACCCGATTAGTGAAAAATAAACATTTATTATTCCACCCGATTTGTTTAACTGTACCAAAAATACTTACTTACGCGCGACATTTTTTCTCGTTGGTGTAATCATTCCTTACTTGCGGTTCACTGTATCGTCCTCTTTCTCATTCAAATATATTCTTTACCCTGTATTTACTTCTGCTTATCGTGACGGGATGGTAATTAGTATTTAATGGTAATCATAGTCAATCACCACTAAAAGTTCAACACTGGAGATAATAGAGAACCTTATATGTTGATCTTTCCAATATTTTTTTGGTTTTTTGTATATTCACCTAACAGTTAATCATATTTCATGAGTATACTGATGTGTGGAAACTTGAAACAGGCTGATTAATTGGCATACTAGACACTTTTAAGTCAGTTCAGTATGACAGAGATTAAATCAGTCTAATGAAGACCTGGATATAATATAATTGCTTGATATACTATTGTCTGTTATTTCTATTCTAAAACAGATGTAAGCGCTTCTAAGTGCTGGCGTAAATAAAAATGCAATTAAAGTAGAAAGAGGTCTTATAACAGCACTACTTTTCTGCGTCTGGTTGTATTCACTCATCTGTATTAGACTCTGGTTTTTCTATTGCACTTCCTAGTTAATTCAACTACTTGAAAGTACATTCAGGAACATTCGTATTCAACTAACTTATCCTCAGTCATCGTATCTATAGGTTGATGCATACACCGAAGCCTGGGAAATGACTGAAGATAGATTATCTGATTACCTACATAGGGACGGTTTTATCAACTCCTTGAAACATGGCTTCATTATAATCAGATCGCGCACTACATAGATGAAAGATTTTTTGACGACCAAAAGGAGCGAGTGATTATATAGTAATCCAATTTTACTAACTAACCACAGACCATCCGGATTCCGACCTTGTAGAACTCAATAAAGAGAAATGTGGCTGTCCGAGATTTGGAGACACGGCTACCTAAAAAAGTCTTAAAATCAACGGGTATGTACTGCCTAAAAACTCATCATGAACTTGTCTGAAAGTGCAATACTAAAAAATACTGAACTATTCTGAACATATTTACAACAAAATATATTAAATGAGAAAAATGCCATTTCATTTCTCGTCAATTCTTTTATGGAAAATACAGAACTATACTTTACAAAACATGAGTATGGCCCACTTCTGAATACTTCTA